GTCACTCGAAGCGAAAAAATTGGTCTCTTAACAACAATGCCAGTGAAATGGTCCATTCGAAAAACAGCACGAGAATTCGGTATAAGTAGACATATGGGCTCTATCGCAAAAAGTTTGCAAGATGATCGTGGTTATAAATCTCACCCAGTAAAAAAGAAGGGTTAACCCATGAGTGCAGCTTTAATCGAAAAAGTCCACGAGTTTTTTTTATCAGATAATGTTCGTCGAGTCATGCCCGGGAAAAAAGATGTTAAATCGCTTAAGACGCTTAATAGAATTTTTTTAGAAACGCTTGCTGTTGGGCAATATTCAAGATTTGCATTCTGATTTTTAAAATAAACATCCAAATGTACAGATATCGTTGTCAGCATTTCGAGCTTTGAGACCTCAAAAATGCATACCAGTTGGTGCTAAAGGCACACATAACGTGTGCGTCTGTAAAATTCATGGCAACATTAGGCTCAACTTAAAAAGACTGAAGAAAGCATTTATTTGCAACAAGTTAAATTTTGAAACTAGTTATCATGATTACTTGAAACATATGATTTGTAACGATCCATCTGCAGATTGTTATTTAGGGATTTGTAACAACTGTCCAGGAAAAAAAACGATTATTACAGATTTAAAGACATTATTGCAAAATCAAAAAATTAAAAAAGTTTCTTACAAACAATGGCACACAACTGACAGGTATTATTACAATAATCTTTAATTTTGTTACTATTCTTTTAGTAATATTTTTTAAATTTCAATTTTTTTTTTTCAAGTCAACTGCTCATTCTAACTGGAAGTATCCACATTTTTACAAAGAACTTGGCAGCAGATTTACCAAATATTTTGAAACACGACTGTATCGCGAAGTCTCGAGCATCTCATTTGGAAAACTTGAAAAATTTGCTTGAAAATGGAGATTTTCTTATTACCCTTGACTTTACAGAGAACTACTCTTTTTACGTTCAAGACGTTATCTAATCACAGGATTGCATTGTAGTAGAGATCAGGCTACTCTACATGTATATGTTATATATCATAAAAGGAGAATGTTACTCACAACATAAATTATGTTGTTTTGCTTGAGTAAGACTATTAATGGAACTCGGCAATATCATTGTTATAAACCATTTGACGCAAAAAGTTTAGAATGTTCAATTTTGTCTAATAATACCAAAATTAATATAATAAAACTATGTACTAAAATAATCATACTATTGTAAAAAAAATGATGTTTGTTTATAAAAGATGTAAGAAAAAAAGAAAATAGTCAAAATACAGTGTGAAAGTAAATGAAACCAAAAAAAACCAGTAGACCAACGCGAGACGGGGGCGCGCGGCGCTGCAACAGCGCCTACGCGGCAACGATTAAACATCCATGACTTTTGTTTTTATGAATTGCACTAAAATTTTCTTTCAGATAATAAAAGTTTATGAAATTTCAAATCAAGNTTAGAAATCAAAAATAATAACCAATTTAATTTTTTAGACCTTTCTATTATCATAAATAATGATCGAGTTTTAACTGATATTTACTGTAAGCCTTCGTACACAGATATCATCATTCACAATAAATCATTACATCTACATTCACATTAAATGGCTGCATTTTACATTTTCGTGCATAGACTTTTAACGATACTTTTAGAGCCATCAGATATCGATCATGAATTAAACATTATTTAACAATTAGCATTCAATAATGGCTATAACACAGTTATTATAGATAACATACTTAATAAAATAAAACTGAAAAAAGGCTATAGACAACGTCTTCCCCTTATCTGTGAAGGATCATGATCGACGGTATTAACTTACACCAGTACACACACTTATAAAATTACTTAATTTTTTTAAAAACATGATATTGATTTAACGTTCAAGACAAATAACAATTTCCAAACAATTAAAAAAGAAACAACAAAGACAAAATAAATAAAGAAAAGAATTCAGGCGTTTACAAGAGATATTGTGGCACACCAGGTTGTGATGAACTGTATTTTGGCCAAACGGGTAGAACATTTGAAAAATGAGACAAAGAACATAAAAGTGCTTTTAACAGTAAGACTGACAAATCAACTTATTCTGGTCATTTAATAGAATTTAACCATATTTTTAATGATCACTATGATATCCTACGTATTTGTAATAAAAGTAAAAAAACTAGATTCTTTAAAAGTATAGGAGACGATTAAACATTAGTAAAACAACAAATTTAAGGACTACTATCTGGATGACAATACTAAAACAGTGGGAGTGAAGTATTTTGCATGCAAATTGAAAAAAAAGTTAACCATTAATTTTTATAAAAACTTTGTAGAAAATACTTTAGTACCTCTGTAAGATCGTTTTGAAAAGAACAACGATCAGTATCACTACCAATCACCCTGAATAACTTTAGATCGTCAAGATACAACACTTCAGAATTGTTTACAACTGAAATCACATGGTTAACACAAACGGCAAATAACAATGGACCATATTGTGAACCTTACGGTGCTCTACAACCAACCACAAATTAATCTGAAAAATGCCCATTTACTTACGTGATTAGTACTCTATCACTTAAATAAGATGCAAACCAATTTTGCAAGTAAATTGGCCATATCACGAGAACCACTGTCATTCTCGTCAAGGATAAACATAGTATCAGGAAATTGATACTTTGTTTCAGAATAAATGAGTGACCAAAATTTTTAAGAATTAATCTCAATATTATTTTCACAGATTATACATAATTCCTTCTAAAGAGAGAAGCCAGCGATTGACAGTATTATCTCTTTACCTATAAAAAATGTAATAGTCAGACTTAAATAGTTCATACTATTTATATAAGCATTTGTTTTCTATTCTCGCTCTCTTCAAACTATTAGGGAACCAACTACGAAAGCGTGGAGTAAAGCACTCCGATTTAGGTATAAATTTATCAAACAGATAAAATAACGTTTTGTTAAAACTATTAACCGGCTTATCGATTGATACACAAGAAAAAAAACACATTCCAATCCACAGAGCCCAGTACCTTACGCAGGCTATTGTAGTTACCTCTACAAAAGATAAAACTACTATTAATATATCGGATCCGCTTAAGTAACGCCTCTCACACTTTTGTGTCAAATGAAATGCATCCAGATTTACTAAACGGTCATGAAGCTTTCATGCGACTTTAATATTAACAATTGATATACTTCTTAATTTTTTGATAATTATTCTTGCTTGTATTTTTTTTCTGCAATTAATAAAATGCCCATTTAACTACAAAATCAAACATTTAGTTATTTACTTTATCATTTCAAGACACGTTTAATTAGCTACTTTTTAATTCCAAGAAATTTGTACAGTAGTAGAATGATATTTTTATGAACCGAAAGAGAAGTCAAAAAAACTTTTAAATCAAACAAAAATATGCTTCAAATATTTAACATTTTCATAAAGTTACATGAGAGGTGCCGAGGGAACCACGGAGGGGCTAGGGAATCAGTCGTCTTAATAATCCTTCTTACTTCAGTGATCCTCGAGGGAGTAATCAGCAGAAGCTGTGGTTGTCGTCCATTGGCTGACTGAAATTGTGTCTAAACTGGAGATAGAGAGAGAAAAAAGTAGCGTACAAAAGATATAAAAAGCTAGCACAAGCAGCGTTGTCAATCAGCTGTTTATATATATGTACATACAGTCAATTTGCACTTAAACTGTTGTAAAGGAAGTTTCATTGAACGAGTTCACGCAATGGCCCTGAGAAAAGTCAATTGTGATAGATACTTTCAGTCAGCCTTCTTCATGCTTAATGGTGAAGATCCCGCTGCAGGTCGGTGGGATAATAAACTAGAGCTAGTGTTCTGTTAACAGCAAAAATTTACCGCTCGACTCGGTTCAGTTAACAGGGATCGCGGAGCTCGAGTATCTGGATCTGGGGCAGCTTGACTTTTTCTTAGAGTCTCTGCGTACGGAGAGCGTGATGAAGGGAGCTACACCATTGGTCAAAAAATGGCTTGTTATGGGTATGGCGTTGGGACGAACTATCAAGGTGGCTCATGACGTTTACGGCAGACGTGGATGCCCGAACTCCTCAGGGCAGTTTTTCTTAGCCTAGTGTTTCATCAAGAGACTGCTCTGGCAATACCAGGTTAGTCGAAAAGATGATCGCGATACTCTGAAGCGTTGAAGCTGGTTGTGCTCTTGCCCGATATCTCCTGGTGTTATACCAGAGATGTTGGCGTTCATAACGCCTTTTTTGTGGTACTCAGTCATTTTGGTAGTCCAGGGTAGAAATCAATACATATCACTCGCCTATTGCAGACTGTTAACTGGCAGGTTCTATCTTAATAACAAATAATTAATGAAATAAAATCTCCAAGGTTACAAATTATTATACATTTTCATTCTAGTAAAAGTTATCATAGCTGTTTGACAGTAAACCGAAAAAACTTAAACTTTACGAGAACAAAGATGTATAAAAACTATATTGAATTTAGATAGCTGTGATTATAACCTTGATTGGTATGAAGCAACCACTAAATTAATAAATTATATACTTTAAATCTTATAAAAATTGATTGTTACTATTTTATACCCACGCTGACAGTATTAATTTCAGTGAGCAAAGTGTAACATTCCTCATAGGTAAAAAATTGCATGTACTACTCATAAAAAAAGTATTTTGGCATCCTCTGCGAGGAAACTGCATTTTGAGCCGAAGGCAAGAGTAGCAACTTTTCAGAGGATAGCAAAATACTTTTCCTAATAAGCAGTAAATCTGATTTTTATTTGAGAGATTATGTTGAAATTTTCTTCCTGAAAACAAGGAAAAATGTCGTATTTCCAGTAACGGAAGAGAAAAAATCGTATACGGGCTTTGGAAAGAAAGTACGGCAACCCACACTCAGGAGGAAATGGCATACTTTCTTTCCTTGGTGCGTAATGTACTATATTTCTTTAAGTAATTAATAACAAGTCTGAAACTTTATTATAAAACAGTATTTTTATTTTTATTCACACAATTTACGGAAAGCTTAATGGTGAACATAAATAATAAATGTGGTTAAAGACGTCCAACGCTGTTGAAACTTACCATTCATCATTGCCTGGTAAATTATAGCATAAAAATCAGTACGTCTGAAAAGGTCTTCGAAAAAATACGTCATTGCATCTGAATTTAGAAATAATATCAATGCCTCCTACTGAAAAATCAGTTGAGACATCAATTGCTACATTAAAATTGTTTTCCTTTTACTTGAAGTGCATTTTTTTCCATTTTTTTTTTTTACTCTGAAAAAAATAATTTCAAGAAATATTCAAACAAACTGCTAAAGTATCATACGCATAAATTTTTACCTAAGCTCGAAAATAAAATCAGAAGAGGAATCAGAGGTATTGCTTGAAACACTGGGAGAACGCTTTTGTATCAAATTGTCTACAAAAACTTTTTCGGATGCCAGTGCTTTCTTTGTAGTAACTTTCAACATGTTCCTAAATGTAGTTGTTAATTATTACTATTATTTTTTATGTTGAAACACTATTATTAGTGAATAAGTGCCTTTTATCGTTAATTAAATTATTATCAAAGTAAAAATACATTTTAGATATTTTGTTACCTTAAAGTTTTGAGACCAATAGATTTATAAAAATTTGCAGCAAAAGCTGCATCTTTTCGGCTCTCAGTGGGAAAAAGTCCTTTGAATGCTGTTTTATATTCTCTGTGAAAATTAAATATAAGGTACAAATCGGTTAGTATTATTATTATTATTTTTATTGTTAATATACTTCTCTTGATTAAAATGTGGTAAAGTGCCGTAACTTGTCTTTGAATCTTTCTTCCAAGCTCGATGCGCTTTTCTGATCTGCTAGTTCTTGCAAGAGAATCCTTATAAAATTTTTTTTGGCTAGCGTTGTGTCTCTCTCATTTATCTTCACGGCATTGAAACAATCCCAAGAAATAGAATCTTTTTGTAAAAGGTGGGCGAACAGCTTGCTCGAATTTTTAATCTCATTCTTATCCATGACTTCAGCAGTGTTATAACATTCTATAAAAAGTGTCTTAAAGGCAGTGGAGAAACCTTCACTTATTATGCAGAATCGCTGAAATAAAATAGAATAGAAAAGTATAAAAAGTAGAGCGCTGGCGGTAAAGCGGAATAATCAAGCACATTCAAACTCACCTCAACAATGTTTCCGATAAAGTACTCATAGGTTTTCATTTCCATACAACAATCCAGTAGGGTCTTGCAAATGGCAGGTTCAAAACCAGGCTTGACTAATGGGAGTAGCACGTTGCTCACATACTCGTCAAAATCTAGTAGAGAGCAAATAGCTGAGTTTACGGCGCTCTTGAGATCCAGTAGGTCTAGCTCGTTAGGCTTATGGTGTGACGAAGCTGGTTTCCTTGCTTGTCCTGCATGTGTATTATTAGTTTGAGGTACCTCGTGAAGGATTTCACTAATATGCTGAAGGACAGGCACAGGAACCGTTAGATCTTCAGTCGGAACGTTAATTTCGGAGCGACTGTCGTACATAGAGTGTGGAAGGTGATTTATACTGCTGGGGCTGCTAAAACTTTTGCTCATGATGCTGCTGGTCACAACCTCTTGAGAGAGGTGCGCGTGGTTCTGGGAGCTGCGAGACTTGCGTTCTGATATGCCAATTTTGTTTTTAAGTTTGTTAATGCTAAATCTGCCTTGATGCATAAGCACACCCAGTTTTTCGTGGTGGTACATGAAGAACTGAGGAGGACTCACGGGTTCCTTGAGTTCAGTAAGAGTAGTCAAGTGTTTAAAAGCACAAGTTGATACGAGGGTTGCGTTATCCCGTTTTTTTACAAATATTTTAGTCCAAGAAGGAAACTCAATAAGTAGTTGAACCAAGTTCTCGAGTACTATGGGGCAGTAGTACTCGTTAGCAACTTCAGAACCGTCTAAGTTAAAGTTACCAAGGTTGTAGGCTGCCTGCTTTAACTGATTTATATACTCGTAAATGTCGTGGGGCGTCTCACTAATGACTGGATTTTGTCTAATATTGTAAAAGGCAAAGCTGCGTGAGCTGTTTTTTCCCGTCGCTAAGGTCAGATACTCACGATTCATTTGTTGAATCGTGTCTGAAGTAAGCTGAGTCCAGAGATCTAGCCGTCTTCTCTCAATTTCTTCATTTTGATAAGGGCTCTGGCATAGAGAGAGCATACTGATAACGGTTTCCCGGAATTCTTCTAGACTTTGTAACGAGCTCAGATATATCACGCCACAGAGGTACAAGTCTTTAACTGCTTGTGACACATTTTCGAAGCACGACCAGCCATTTATAACTTTAATCAGTACGTGAATATCAATTTGAATCAGCGTGGGTGGTAGAACTATTATCTCGTCCATTAAACACTTGAAACATCTGCAACATGGTTTAATTTATTATACCTAGTTAAATTATAATATTGGCAGAAAATTTTGTACGGCAAAGAGTTAAAATTTTCTTTAAAACTAGTTATGTTCCGCTCACTTCGCAAATTTTTTTAATTCTAAGTGTCTTCATAACTTTTGTTTTAGTTGGTTTTTTTTTAATTGCTTAATTATAAATGAGCACATTACATGATACAAAAAGATTAGTTTTCATTTATTTTTTTTTTTGTCTCTTTAAACATATACAGTTTTGTTTTACCCATGCATCCGACAACTACTAACACAATTCAGAGTTTCAAGTTAGTGAGACAGAAATCGTCTCAGAAATTAAGTATTGATCTTATTAAAAGAGTCAAGATACTTAATACATAACCAAATGTTTGTACACCAGGCAGTTATACTCATTAATTATCGAGAGTAATTACGTTACTAATTTAAACAAGTTAAAATCAACGAAAATCAGTTTAAAATTAACGAAAAAGCCTGTGTGGTAAAGCGTAGGTGTAAATGCTCGAACAGTTTTCTCTCATTAGCTTTTGCGTTTTGACATATACGAACAATTACCCATAAGACTTAGCGTATCAGGCTTAAAGAAACGAAAAAAAGTAGATAACAAACAGCATTATATAAAACACTTCTTAAACACAGGAACGAGTTATATTAAGAATATCAAAATGAAGATTTTAACTTAAGAAGCAGATATTATTCAGTAAAAAGATATTATAATCAATAGTATTGGTCGATACTTGATAAAGAGTCATGTTTATAACAATTAAAACACACTGCGGTAATAATCTTCACTCTTTACTAAAACTTAAGTATTGCCATAACAGCTGTTTCGGTACACAGTACCTTCTTCAGATGGCTATCAAATTCCAACTAACTTACGTTGCATTGCTATATAGTATACATACCGAATGCAGAGTCAATACACAATAATGCAATAGAAGTATACGTCATATATTTACATAGTGGTAATATTAAAATTTTAAATTTAGTAAAAGTAAGCTATTGAGATCTAATTGGCCGTTGAATGGTCTGCCTAAATTTTTAAGTTTATTGATTTCCATTGCTTCTAAAAAAACTAGTTTTTTTACTTTTATTGCAAATATGTAGGATATCATAGTCATCATTAAAAACATGGTTACATTCTATTAAATGACCAGAACTCACAGTCTCACTGTTAAAATCGCTTTTATGTTCTTTGTCTCGTTTTTCAAACTTTGTACCCGTTTGTTTATTATTTATTACAACCTGGTGTACCACAATATACAATATAAATTATACAATACGTTTACCAATAATGAACTTACTCTTTTGAAATAGGTTTCAAATTTAACTTCAACGTTGATGACTACATTTATATAAAAAAAAATTTAGCAGTTGAATGTGAAGTTATTATAAACAATGTAAATAGTCTGCAGGATACACTTCTTAACAATTTAGATAAAGAAAAACGCATTTTAGCAAGCAATATAAGGGATACATCAAATACTTCTCCGGTTAATAAACATTACCTCAACACAGTCTCAAGTATTCGAAAAAAAAAACAATAAGGTATAATGTTATCATCACTTGAGCAGATAAGGGGCCGACTTTAGTTGCTACTGGCTGTGCGGATTATATTTCAAAGACGAATGATTTTGTTATTTTAAGTAATTTCGAAGTTTTTAGTAAAGACCCTACAAATAATTTCAAAAGGAAATCATAACTTTGTATGGACAGAACTGCATACTAAATTATTTTTCATACCACGCAATAGTACAAATAAATTCAAAACTTCCAAAACTTTTTTCGTTAAATAAAATACAGGAAAACAATTTTTCTACCCGTCCAGTTGTATCTTATAACACTTCTCCATCTTATAAAGTATCTAAGAAATTAATTAACCTCATTTTATTTAACACACAGTTTGTATCAACTTACAGTATAAAAAATTCTATGGGATTAGTCAATAGAATTAAGAATATAAATTTTCCACATAACGCAATGTTACTTTCATTTGAACAAAGAATAATGTCTCATTAACTCCTTAAATATTTGTTGTTTTGGCATAGATATGTAGACGATATTATCGTATGTTTGACGGGTACTCGAAGAGATAGATTTTTAAAAATTAATTTTATTAATAGTTTATATAGTAACATACAATTTGAATTAGAAATCAAAAATAATAACCAATTTAATTTTTTAGACCTTTCTATTATCATAAATAATGATCGAGTTTTAACTGATATTTACTGTAAGCCTTCGTACACAGATATCATCATTCACAATAAATCATTACATCTACATTCACATTAAATGGCTGCATTTTACATTTTCGTGCATAGACTTTTAACGATACTTTTAGAGCCATCAGATATCGATCATGAATTAAACATTATTTAACAATTAGCATTCAATAATGGCTATAACACAGTTATTATAGATAACATACTTAATAAAATAAAACTGAAAAAAGGCTATAGACAACGTCTTCCCCTTATCTGTGAAGGATCATGATCGACGGTATTAACTTACACCAGTACACACACTTATAAAATTACTTAATTTTTTTAAAAACATGATATTGATTTAACGTTCAAGACAAATAACAATTTCCAAACAATTAAAAAAGAAACAACAAAGACAAAATAAATAAAGAAAAGAATTCAGGCGTTTACAAGAGATATTGTGGCACACCAGGTTGTGATGAACTGTATTTTGGCCAAACGGGTAGAACATTTGAAAAATGAGACAAAGAACATAAAAGTGCTTTTAACAGTAAGACTGACAAATCAACTTATTCTGGTCATTTAATAGAATTTAACCATATTTTTAATGATCACTATGATATCCTACGTATTTGTAATAAAAGTAAAAAAACTAGATTCTTTAAAAGTATTGGAAATCAATAAATTCAAAAATTTAGGCAGACTATTAAAGGGCCAGTTAAATCTCAGTGGTTTACCTTTACTAAATTTAAAATTTAAATGTTACCACTATATAAATAAATGACGTATACTTACATTGTATTATTCTGTATTGACTCTGCATTCAGTATGTATATTATACAGCAACGCAACGTAATTTAGTTTAGTTGGAATTTGATAGCCAACTGAGAAAGTTACTGTATACCGAAACAGCTGTTATGGCAATACTGAAGTTTCAGTAAAGAGTAAAGATTACAAAAGCAGTGTACTTTAATTGTTAAAAGATATCAAAGTAAGAACCTGTCACTCGTTAACGCTTAACAAGCTCAAACCGTCGTAGTAATAACAGCACGGTCAGCTTATATAGGAACGAATCAAAATAAAGCGTTTAAAGGTTAGGTCTTTGGGCTAGCAGCATAGTTGTATAATACTGATGTATCAAAAAAAACTGTTCTTGTGTCTAATTTAAATAATAAAAGACTGAATTTAAGACGTAGTAACGTTATTATGAATGAAAACCATACTTATGGATAACAATTTTTTGAAAACAAGTTTAAAAATAAGTGGTGTAGGTAAGTAATTTCTAGATAACTTTAAGATCACTGACTGGCGACGATTGACTGGGCCCGCGTTATTATGAAGTAAGTAACAAAAGTGGTAGCCAAACATGAAAGACAGAGCAGAGGGAAGCAGATGTGAAGGTCAAGCAATGACAGAGGGTTGGGAACAGATCTTAATAGATCAGTAAAAATAGCTTTGAAATAATCTGGCGCCTAAAGTGTCTGCATTATTAATTATTAGGTGAATCGAGATCGTAGAAAATGTTGGTAAAATTTTCAGCTTCCTAAGTGCATGAAATCTATATTTTTTTTTTATAAAAAATGCTAATATCTACCGAACGGTAATGCGTATCAAAAAATGACCTACACTATTCGAAAGAGGAGAAAAAAATACGCAGATAACGATTATGTACTAGATCTTGACTAACTTAAAATCTCGAGAAAAACGGCCGCGAAAGGTTTAATGCAAAGATACGTTTATATATAGGTATATTAGCCTGCTAGTCGGGGAGAAGAGAGAGGGGAACGGCCAGCACGGCTTGCACTGAGCCGAAATTTCTTTTTTCTCTTCGCCAGACCCCCAAAAAATATTACAAGTCCCAATGAAATATGTATAATGGGGAAAAATATGTCTGAGGGAAAGTGGATTTTTGCATTTTCGATGATTCTCTATCAATTGCACTAGGTCCTGAATTACCTTTTTTTTGCAAATAAAAATTTGCTTATAAAAATGTAATTAGAAACATTAGATGTGAGTTGACAATTTAAAATTCAAAATTAAAAAAATTGATTAACACTTGTTTTTCGAGCTTTTACTTAAAATTTGTACGTTGACACTGCAGCTTGGCGAATCAATTATTGCATCTTGATAAATAAATATTGAAAAAAAGTGTTGACGTAAAATGTAGCCAGATGTTTTACATATAGCAATAAATTATATGAATACCAAATTATTTTATTGATACACAAAAAACCTCTCGTTTCGAGAAAATTTTAACTTTTCAAATTTTATTGGTACTCTTAGCAATAATTCTGCAAGAATCGAACGCAGCTTATTTTCTTTGTTTTTTGATTTATAATATAGCCTGATACTTTTCATCCAGGCTCGAGAAAATTTTAACTTTTCAAATTTTATTGGTACTCTTAGCAATAATTCTGCAAGAATCGAACGCAGCTTATTTTCTTCGTTTTTTGATTTATAATATAGCCTGATACTTTTTAGCTAGGCTCCAAATGAAAAAACTGGTAGAAGTCAAATAGTGTTAAATCTAAAAAATATAATTTCTAAAATTTACAAACAGATCTTAGGTACAAAGAAAAAATGGAATCAATTTAAAAAACGTTATGAATGAGAAAGAATTTTTCTATGATATAATACTTAATGAGTTTATAGTAATAGTCAATTTAAATTACCGTTATTTAAATATGATTAACACTGTAATTGTCATACAAAAAAACAGAATTTGTACAGCCAATCAAAGAAAGGGAAGAAGACGTTCAAATAATTTATTGCAAGA